ATATTAAAAGGAGACACTGTATATATAAGGAGACATCTCCCACCCCACTTCTAGCAAGGCACCTTGGTTTTTTTTGTTTGTTTGTAGGCTGTCAGTCATTGTAGATAGTTAGAATCGTCTGCTCTACTTTTTCCATCTTTAATATAAATGCAGATGACCATTTCTTATATGGAACTTTTAGGATGGGTTATGTTGAGGAAATCTGAAATTTTCAGATTTTTTAAGAGATACTGTCAACTCAATGGCAATGGCAACTAACATTGTGGAGCATATTACTATAAATTACACAAAGGGTCTGGGCTGCATATTGTCACACAAAGTCAGATCATCAAAAGTAGAAAGAGCCTCCCATCAGTTTTAATTAGGTTTTTCCAACAAATGGTTTTGCTACAAACTAAAAAATTATTTTGTTTTGAGTTTTTTTTTTTTGCGGGGGGGGGGAGGCATTTTGAAATTGAGAATTTAGGATACCTCTATAATCATGTGGTTGAAAACCTAGAGTTGATTAGGAGGAACTGAGTATTTTGAAGTTATTTATTTGGTTTATCATCCCCCCGGCTCCAGTTTGAGAGATAACACAGAAAACTTTTATAGCTAGTTCCCAGAAGAATGGAGTATATCAAATAAGCAGTTTCAAACAAGCGAGAAAAATGAAGTAAACCAAGTAGGGGATGCTGAGGTGTGTATCCAAATCAAAGATGACAAAGAAAAACGATGACTAAACGGAAATGGAACTTGTTAAAGGGAAAGTTATAGAACCTGAAGAAAAAGATTTATGATTGTGAGAGTGTACAGCAAAAGACCAGCATGAGTCCAATCCCCCAAGTCCAGTTCTCATATTAGCACTTCTTCATCCTTGTCACCAGTCACCCCACAGTACACACTCTCTGACCCTAGCCACCAGGAGCTAGGTCACAGTTCACAAGTCATAAGAATACCATCCTTCAGGATGCCAAATAGGCAGATGCCAGTCATAAGTTTGGGGCGTCCACTTGACTCCTCGTCCTTCTGACCTGCTGAACACACATTTTGGACTGTTTGTTTTTATTATTCCTGCCAGCTGCAAGCTCTGGAGTCCACATGACACCCTTACTTTCTGACCTCTGACTCCTACTGCCTTTTTGGGTTCAACAATTCACTAGAATAACTCAGATAATTCATAGACGGTCCTGGTGTGGCACTATAGGGTAAGTACCGGACTGCTAACTGCAAGGTTGGCAGTTCAAATTCATCAGTCACTCCTCGGAAACCCTGCGCAGAGTCTGTAAAGTTGGAACCAACTCGACAGCACTTAATAGCAACACCAACATGCCATACTTAATGATGGCTTTCTTGTAGCCTAAAAGGATACACATGAAGCAATACATAAGGCAAGGTCTTGGAAAGTTCCCAGAGTAGTTAGTTGTGAGCTTCTCTTACACAAGGGTCGACTACCCTCACCAGAGCAGATGTTCTCACTAACCAGGAAGCTCTCTCAGCCACTGTGTCCAGCCAGCCCAGCCTGATAGGTTAAACAACATGCCTTCTGAGGCTAGGGGATATCAGCCTCTCAGGTTAGTGTTTTCTCGTCTGGCCAGCCCCCACTTGCCAGCACAAAGGCACCCACATTACTCCAAGAGTCATTTCTCTGGAGCCAAAGACAAAAGCCACCACACTTAAGTTCTTTACCCCACAGAGGCACAGTCAAGAAATTTTCTTAAATCTTATTTTGAAAAGTGGCACAGCGGGTTAAGCGCTGGGATGCGAACCGAAAGGTGGGTGATTGGAACTCACCAGCCATCACTCAGAGAGGATGATGAGGCTGGAAAGATTTGTAGCCTCAGAACCCCTGTGTAGCAGTTCTACTTTGTGCTACAGAGTCACTATGAGCCAGAATCAATTCCACAGCAGTGGGTTTGGTTTATTATGTTGAATGTACATTATAAAATATAAACACAAATTCAGGTAAATGAAAATATCCCAAGCCTGGTAACTTTTATTAATTTTGCCGGTTTTTAATAGTTCAGTGCGCCATTAGGAACTGTTTTCGGTGAGAAGCACTCAAGCTTCTTTCTAGGTGAGAGACTGAGCAGTCTGCTGAAAGTTCACATGCTCTAGGCATTCTTTACTAAGGGTCGCACAGTTATTATGGTGACAATGCTTGAAAGGTAGTGAGTGAAACTTTGTCAGTTCCCTCATTTTCAAATATAGAAAACCACAGGTTGTTTATTTCACATCAAGTGAGTTCTTATTCTCAAGTCATCTGGCACTAACTCAATTGTTTTTACACTCAACGTGATGCTTCAGTCAAAATGTAGTAAGCCCTGTCTGAAGATGTGGCTAAAAGGAAAGAAACTGTTATCAACAAAAAGTATTAAATGCTGGATGGTGTTTCATTCAAAGGAAGAAGGCATTTCAGCCATTCTTTAGGTCTTAAGTACTGTTTTGGGTTTCCCCACAAATGGTCTATCACAGTAAATTTATTTTATAGGAAAGCACTAAAACAAAACAAAGCAAAAACAAGATACAGGAGACAACCTTAAACCAGTCAATTACAGAATTTCAAGCTCATTTTCAAGAGATGTAAAAACTCCTCACGGATAGAAAAATAAATACAGCGTCCCTTTAAGACCAGGGACAAGGTCGTACTGTGATGGATCCTTAGCTCAGGGCACACAGCAGGTGCTCAATAAATATTTGGAGATTGATTAGTTTCCCATTTTGGAAAGATGTTTCAGTTTTCCTATGCGGAGGGAGCTCAGGACTAGATCCTGTGGAAGACAAAAGAAGAGCTCAAAGCCTGGGGAGGGATTCAGATCCCCTTTGTTGTAATGCAATAAAGCTTTAATGAATAAAGGCTTTAGTAAACATGCAACCAAAATGCAGAGCAGTGGCGATGCAAATAAGGTTTACTTTACATTTTGTCTAAACTCATTGCCATTTTAACGCCAGCAGTCCCTGAGCAAACGCCACTCATAGAGGGCGCAGAAGAGACAAGACCAGAGAACAGAAGCGGCAGCACATTTAGGGGAGAAGTAAGCAGAATACCAGGGGGTTCTTGAGTCCAAGACTGGTCCGTCTAGGATTTGAAAAGGTAGAACGAAATGTCTGTAGTCGGCTTTCTCCTCACTTCAAATATCTCCAGAGGAGATGTTGGCCAGGACCAGGGACCGCGGATGGAGTTGTCATGTCACTGAGAGAGAAGACCGCTCCAGCTTCAAGAGTCACAGCTCAGGACTCCTAGGAACCACTGTCTACCGCCTACTAGAAAACGGACCCTCCAGCTCGCTAGGAAAAGGCACCCATGTGATCCGGAGAGGGAGAGCGCGGCAACCCTAAAGGAGAGCAGTGGGGACGGGGCGGGGACACTGCAGGATCCTGCTCCTAGCCCGGCTGGCTGGCGGCGGGGCCTTGGGCGGGGCCGGAGCGGGAGCCACCACCATCCCGCGCGGGCTCTGCGCTCCGCCCGCTGGGCGCCCCTCCCGCAGCCGGGCGGGGCTGGGGAGGAGCGAGAGGGCGCGCGGGGCGGAGCGGGCGCGGGCGCGGACAGAGCGCGGCGCGGGCCGGCAGCGAAGATCCGCGAAGGAGTAGTGTTGCTGTGGTGCTGATTCTAGTCCCGGCCGGTCTGCCACCCGCAGACCTGCCTCGCGGCGCACATCCCGACACAAGCGGCGGCGGCTTACCTTTTCAGCGGCCGAGCCCCCGCCTGCGTCCTCGGTTCGCGGGGCCGGGCGGCCGCGGCGACGGGCATGGCTTCGGCGGGCAGCGGCATGGAGGAGGTGCGCGTATCGGTGCTGACCCCGCTGAAGCTGGTTGGGCTGGTGTGCATCTTCCTGGCGTTGTGTCTGGACCTGGGCGCCGTGCTGAGCCCGGCCTGGGTCACGGCAGATCACCAGTATTACCTGTCCCTGTGGGAGTCCTGCCGGAAACCCGCCAGCCTGGACATCTGGCACTGCGAGTCCACGCTCAGCAGCGGTGAGGGCCCGGCGCCGCGACCCCCGCCCCGACCTCCCCACGCCCTATTGCCCGGGACCGCCACCACCCCACTCCCAGCCGCCTCGGTGCCCCCCACCCGTGCCCTTCCCACTCCATTCCAGCTCTTCCCGGAGCCTAGGCTCCAACCTCCTCCCTGACATCCACTCCTTTCTCCTCCCCAATCCTGGTCGCCAAACCTAAAGCGACATCCCACGCCCTCACCCTCCTTCTCTGACAATTCCTCCCGCTTTAGAGTAACACGTATGCTATTCTGGGTAATTGTTACCATTTAGGGCGAGAACCATGTGGTGGGGTTAAAAATGCAACACCTTCCAAGCCCTCATTAAAAAAGCCATAAGCAAAAAACACCCCAACTCCGCCCAAGACACTGTGAGTCCTTGGTTCGGGCTCCCCCACTTTTCTCTACCCTTTCAGGGAGGAATTTGCATGAGTTTACCCCTACCTCTCCGTGCCCACGTTTCTTACTGTTCTAGTCCACTTTTTCTGGGTTTTCCCCAGTGAGTTTTAGTTTGGATTTTATTTCCTTACGTTTCGGAAGGCTAAGAGATGGGAGAGGAACCGGAGTAATTTCCTTTTTTGGTGTCATGAGTTAGTTGTGAGTGGCCCTTCTCCCCACCCTCTGTACATCCCTACTCCTGCCAGACCTTTTCTTCTCCAGAGCTACAGATGCCTGGAAAGTTGTAGTTTATTCATCTAGCACTATCTAGGGGCAAGGAGGTGGGAGAGAGATTAAAGCCCCTGGGAGATGGGGGCTTTATTGCTTTAGTCCCTCCTTGACTCTCCTAGTTGCCTTCCTCGGCGCCCTAGTTATGCCCGTAAAAGAAATCTGCCAACTTCTTATTTCTTGCTGCAAACCTTTACCTCTCTTAATTCTGAAGGTGCTGGTGTCAGCGCAGTAAAGGGGGGAGAACCTGTCCCGCGATACACACATTCACATAAGCGTGCGCGCGCGCGCGCGCGCACACACACACACACACAGAGAGAAACTCATTAAATTCCTTCGTGACAGTTTCATGTCTTTTCTAGAACTATTTATAAAGCTTTCCTGGAAACGTTTCAAGTTCCAACAAACTTGAAATCGCACAAAAAAGCGACACAAATCTGATTTGCTTTTGCCTTTGGTTTCTTGTTTTAAGAGAAATGAGTTCACTTAGTTAAGTTTCATCCATAAATTTCATTCTCTGTGTACAAAAAGGCTTTTTCCTTATCCCCTCAAAATTCTCATTGAAAGGCTTTGTCTTTGTTGCTTAATTCACTGTGGAGGGGACTGGTTAGCAGCAGGAGGTCAACATTTAGGTCTTTCAATTCTTTCAGGGTTGGTTGTTTACAACTAAAGATAAAATAAATCTGTAAGATGCCTTTCTTCAGTAACCAGGGGATCCAAGTAAACTTTGGAGAAAATATCTTTTCTTCCCCATCTCCAATAGAAATGGAAATTTATGTAGGAATGCCAGCTTCAGCAGGTCTCCTTAGCAACAGGAATCTTTTACCCCTTTCTCACTGTCTCCTGAAATAATAGCCCCTGATTGCAAAAAGACTTTTCAGATAGGTTAGAGAAATCAGCTTCAGCTCCCACTTTCTTTTCAGGCCCTTCTGTTCTCTTGGCCAGGAATGTGGGGAATGGGGAGAAGCCAGCTAGAGTTTTGAGGAGCTGGATGCTATGTTTGCTCATCTTTCCTTAATTGCCTCCATATCCATTTATCTCAGCTCCCCTCCCTCCCCTTTCTAGGCTCGGAACTGGGGAGACACAAGTTAAATGCAAATTATAATAGTGTAGTACACAGAGCCACAAGGTAAAAGTCAAAAGCAGACACAGTTTCTGCCTCACCCCCAAACCCTTCCTTCGGAATTCTTATCCCCAGCACTTCTATTTGGATTTCTGACAATCAACTTTAGTTTTTATTTTGCTGAAAGATTACTGTTTCAGCCCAGAAAACGTAAGCATTTGTAAACAAAGAGGAAAGAAGTCAAGGTCTTGACTTTCTAGATAGTCTGGAGTGATTTTTGTTTTACTCTCCAAGGATATGAGGGGCTGCAGGGGCAGGAAAGGAAATAAAATATAGACAATTACTGTGTCCCTTCCTTACAAAATACGACTTCTTAAAACGGTATGCAGATGAGAAGTTTCTATCTGTCAAGTGTTTGAGAAAAATGAAGAGAGGGAGAAGTCTGAATCAAAACCAGCAAAGCTCTTCTTTCCTGTTCCAAAGGGGTAGGCAGCTTTTCTCCGTCTGCTATGTGGAGCTGCAGAAAGAAAGCAGGGAGGGAAAGGTCTTTTCGGATGATTTTTAAAAATCCACTTCATTGTCTCGCGAAATGAATTACCTCCAGAGGCACCACTGAGGACAGTTTTACTGAAGGCCCTTCCCCTTCGACCAGGATCTTCAGGGCTTCATTAAAAACCTTTTTCTTAATCAGAATGAAAACAGCCATGAAGAGGCAAGCTTGTATTCTTGTATTTAGCAAAGGAAAACTGGGGGACTGTTTCTGCTGACGACAGTATATGCCCTACTTAAGGCCCGGTTTCTGCTGAAACTTTCCCCTCACCCATTCTTTGTAAAGCTGGGCTGTGATTTTGATACTGAATAGGCACCTTTGGTTGTTAGTGTGTAGTTTGCTGGTTTTAAGTGAAAGCAGAACCATGCTTGTGTGTGCCCTGGTGTATTGAAGGTTGCATCAGCACTTCTAGCATGAACCAGTAATCTGGGCGTCAGTCAGCCTGAGTGCTTTCCTGTGGCGTCCCCAATTCATTGTATTGGGGACAGTCCAGGCACTCATTTTTAAGCAGGCACAGTTTCCAGAAAGACAAATGAGAAAACGATTATCAAATTCATGGTGAGTGGAAACGGAGAAAGAAAGAAAAAAATGAAGTATGCTTGTTAGGAAGTTTAGAATACGTAGTACTCACATGGCTGCTGGCCGGGCAGAGTATTTCTTTCTAAGGATAGTTTTTCCCACTACTGGTTTTCAGCAGCCTCTTAATAAATCTTAATTTTTTTTTTAATTGATAGTAATGATTTTAGACTTTTGCTTAATCACATAGTTTTGGTAACTTTTTTTCCAGAATCTAATGGTTAGAATTTCACAGCCAGAGCAATCGTAAGAGAATTCTTAGAGTAAATCAGATAGACACAAGTGTATACAGAAGGCCAAGGACTTAAACTTGCCAGCAAAGTAAGCTTTACTGTATCACCTCTAGGGTGATGTTACATTTCTTGTTTAAATTTTATGAATACGTAGATACCATTTCTAAAGCAGATAGATACGTGATAGCTGTATGATTTATTGAGTAAGCAAAAAGCAGATGGCCGCACATGAGCACATTTTCCTGAGTATTTTGGGGATGCATCAAGTGCTTTTATTGTTCCAGCCACAAAATAGTTGATCCGATAGTTAATACCATTATTTTCTTTTATTTTTTTAGGAATAATGTTAACATTGTTCACCTTCTGGTCCTAAAAATAGCTGCATTTGTAACATGAGTCACTGGCGGTTTTGAAATGGCAGTGCACACTATGCTAATAACAGGTGAATGTTATTAATTTCACTTGACAAGAGGTTCTTTTTTGAGGGCTTTATATGTAGCTCTTTTTTCAAAAAACTTTTGTACTTTAGTATAAAAACCCATTTTGAAACACATAACTAGAAGACCTACTTTGTGTGGTAGTTGGTGATTGTGTGCCTTCTACTCATTGTATAGATAGGGTTTCCGAAGCTGTAAATCTTTTCCGGGGCAGAAAACCTCATCTTTCTCTTGTGGAGTAACTGGTAGATTAGAACTGCTGACCTTGTAGTTAGCAGTTCAAGATAAATCGAACTGCCTAAACACCTGCACATTTTAGGAAATCAGATGAGATACAGTAATTCTTAGTTCAGATATGTAATTTAGATGCATATTTTTCGCCAGTGTCTTAATTGAGAAACAGGATTTCATTGGGAAAGAAACTTCATAGTATAATACCCTCCAGGGAAGGTTCTGCTTGTTTGAAATGGGTTGATACAGACAAGTGTTTACAAACAGCTCAGCAAGCCTGAAGTCACTATAGTTTTACCCTCCTCTGGCTTCCTAGAAAACAAAGTAAGTAAAAGTGGGTGGGAAATTAACAAAGAATACTAGTTAAGCCAAACTTTCTCAATTAATAAACCAGAGAAAACGAAGTATCTCACAATTTTCATGGTGAGTTTCTTTTAACATTGGCTTCATTTCCAATTTCTTCAGATTTACCTTTGCAAGTGACATTATAATCTGTGGTCATATCTAATGCTTTTGCGTACATTTTATGAAGGATTGTAATCTCCAAGTCTGACTTTTAATAAAGCATTTCAAAAGAAAACAAAAACAAAAGCCTGTATCTTAGTCAGTTTTACCTACTGACAGGAAACTATTTCAGGAATTTCCTTCAAGTTTCTGTTTAATGTACAGGGTCCCTATGAGTCAGAACCCACTCGATAACACTTAACAACATTCAATAAGTGATAGAGTTTTTTTTACTAAGCGTGTTCCACTTCATCATGCTGGGAAATAAACCACCTCAAAAGTTAGTGGTATAAAATAACCGTGTTTATGTGCTCATGGATTATGTGCCTCAGGAACTCGGATAGGGCGTAACAGGTTGACGTGTCTGTTCCAGGATGCCTGGGACTTAGCTAAGGATATGTCAAATGGCTAGGCGGGAACATCTGGAGCTATAGCCATATGGTTTCTACTCACAGTTTAGCACCTTGGTGTAGAATGGCTGGGGAGGCCTGGGGTTCTCACTGAGGACCTACATGTGACTATTCCAGTATGGTGGCCTTAGGATAGTTGGATTTCCTCCTATAGGATGATTGGTTTCCTTTAGAGCAAGGGTCCTAATTTTGTTGTTACTAAGTGCCATCGAGTCGATTCCGACCCATAGCGACCCTGTATAGGGTTTCCGAAGAGCAGCTGGTGAGTTTGAACCGCCGGCCTTTCGGCTCAAATCGACTTTGCAGCCCAG